CAGGGGTCATTTCGTAGAAAAAGAGCTAGGGGAACTCATTAGCATAACTCATTAGCATATGCCACACTCCCTGACATCAGGGGCCCGGCGGTGGACCTGCAAGGCCAGCGGGAGTGCGAGGAAGCCCCGCGAAGGCCCTCCCTGGCCCCAGGCAGGCAGGGGTGGGGAGAGGCGGGGAGGAAGCAACTTACCCTCCCTCTTCTCCTGCCTCCTCCTGGCTGAATGAGGGCTGGAAGCGGGGTGGCCAGAAGCAGGGGCGGGGCTTCATTGTGTGCCCCGCCCCCTTGCATCTCACCCGGGGGAACTGCGATCCCCCGCGTTCCCCCCCGAAATGACCTCTGGTCTGTGGAGAGATAACATACTTGCATGCACTTCTGATTCTTTTGTAACTCTCAAACTTTTTCAACATGTTCATGGCGTTAATTGTTTGTTTGATACTGCTACTGTTAGTAAGTGATTTCGTTAATATGGTACTGTTTGTTGTAACTGTATATAAAGATTTTCAATAGCAGCTCAGAATTTTCAATCGAAGAGAGGTTTTTGTGTTTTGACAATTTCACAAAAAAGACTGGAAGGGAAATTGCTACTGAAGTACTAACAATTCTAGGGAGCTGCGGTGGCTCAAGTGGTTAAGACACTGAACTGCAGGCTGTGGAAGGTCGGTAGTTCAGCAGTTCAAGACCCAGGTGCCGCATGACAGAGTGAGCTTCCGTCTCTAGTTCCAGCTCCTGCCAACCTAGCAGTTCGAAAGCAAGAAATTGCAAGTAGATAAATAGGTACCACTTCGGTGGGAAGGTAACAGCGTACCGTGCGCCTTGGTGTTTAGTCATGCCAGCCACATGACCACGGAAACGTCTTCAGACAGCGCTGGCTCTTCAGCTTTGAAACGGAGACGAGCACCGCAACCCTAGATTCGACTGGCTTTCGAGCAAGGGAACCTTTACCTTTTTACTAACAATTCTAGAAGAATTGGAATTAGGTTTTCAATACTGCATTGGCCAAAGCTAGATAATGGATTGAACATATCTGGCAAATATAATGGTGTACAATCAATTCTCCTTGAGCATAACCCAAGATGCATTTTCTCTAGCTGTAGAAACCACACATTAAACCTTGTAGGTGTTGACTATGCTGAATCACGTAAAAAGGCAGTCAAGTACTTTGGAAAAATACAGCAAATGTTCAATTGATTCAGTAGCAGTCCTTAAAGGCGAGAAATCTTGAAGCAACATCTTCCCGTTTCACTGCATGGGATGTCAAAAACCCGATGGCCTGCAAATGGAGTAAGGCCAATTGCACATCATATGTGTGAAGTAAGAAAGGCTTTAAGTGGACTGGAATATCTCAATCCCCCTGCACAGGCTCGAACTGAACTCACTTCTATCCAGAAATACACGTCAAAAATTGAATTTGTTCTTCATGACATCCCTGTGGATTAAGTTACTTACAATGATCCACCAGGCTACTCTGGTGGTTGATGCACGTAATGCTACGCTTGATGTTGAGAGAGGAAACACTAAAAGCCTCATGAACGGTGGGATGCAATCTTGAATGAAGAAGAAGAAGAGATTGGATTTATACCCCGCCCTTCACTTGGAGTCTCAGAGCGGCTTACAAACTCCTTTCCCTTCCCCTCCCCACAACAAACACCCTGTGAGGTGGGTGGGGCTGAGAGAACTCTGACACAAACTGCTCTTTTTCAGGAACAGCTGTGCCAGAGCTTGTGACTGACCCAAGGTCACATCAGCAGGTGCAAGTGGAGGGGTGGGGAATCAAACCCGGTTCTCCCAGATTAGAGTCCGTGCACTTAACCACTACACCAAACTGGCACCAAACTGAATGAGGCCAAATTGGAAGCGCACAGTCAGCAAATTGGTACAATCATCTCAGTTTACCCGCAGCCGCAAACTTTGTAATGATTCTGATGTTGAGCGACATTATAGAACCAAGGTCTTTTTTGTTATTGTTGACTCGATAGTATCAGCTTAGAAGGTGGTTTGGGTCACTCAATATAATTTGTACCTTGTCCGAGTTTCTCTGGAAATGTAATGACCTCAGCACTGAAGATCTACGTTCATCAGCTGAAAAATTCCAAAGGAAGTACACAAAAGAAATATCACTAGATATGTTGGATGGGATGATTTTCCTCAGGCAAGTACATTCTGTAAACTTTAAATTGAATTGTAAGCCAAACGAATTGCTTCAAGAAATACTCCAACCTGGACTTTCTGGTGTGTTTCCTAATGTCACTGTTGCGTTGAGGATTTTTCCAAGTTTACCTGCATCAGTAGCTTCGGGTGAACGGTCATTCAATGTGCTGACACAGGTCAAGAATTACCACCGTTCAACTATGGGACAAGATTGTTTGAATGGCCTTGCTATGCTTAACATAAACTATGACATTGCAAGAAAACTAGATTTTTCCAGTTTAATTTGTGAATTTACACACAAAAAAGCTAGAAAATCACGTTAAAATGGGAACATTTATTACAAAGTGTTACAATGTTGTTTTTCTTATTGTATTAAATAAATGTAAGCATTTAAATTACAATGCTACCAGTTTTGTATCATTGTTTTCACACTTCTCTTAAAAGGGTGGAATAACACGTCTTCATTTTTTAATTTACTGGGGCCCCCTCAGAAATGGAAGTGGCTCAGGCCTCTCTTGATCTCTGTGAGGGCCGGCTTTTGCCTCACTTCCTATCAGGTCCTTTTAACTGGAGACGCCAGGGATTGAACTTGGGACCTTCTGTATGCCAAGCAGAGGCTGTTCTGCTGAGCCACAGCCTCTCCCTTAAGCCTGAGTACAACCAAACGGATTGTGTTTTTTGTAAATGAAAAGTGTTGGACCTTTTCCCATCCCCTTTCAAGCCATCAGCACACCACAATTGGCTTTAGATTAGGGTTGCAAGGTGCGGGCTGGGAAATTCCTGGAGATTTGGGGAGGGTGGGGTTTGGGGGTGGGAGGGACCTCAGTGGGGTAGAATGCCATAGAGTCCACCTACCAAAGCAGCCATTTTCTCCAGGGGAACTGATCTCTATTGTCTGGAGACTAGTTGTAATCCTGGGATATCTCCAGCCACTACCTGGAGGTTGCCAACCCTAGGGCAGATAGTCTAATAATAGAATCATACGGGCTAGTAACTCTGGAGGCCATATTTGCAAGCCGCAGAAAAATCCTGGACATCTACTTCCCTCTTCTCCCTCTAAGTTTATAAGATTATGCATGGGAATTAGCAGGTAGAGAAAGAGGTACTTTTCTCCCTTTCTCACAATACAAGAACTCGTGGGCACTCCATGAAATTGCTGAGCGGTCGGGTTAGAACGGATAAAAGGAAGTACTTCTTCACCCAAAGAGTGATTAACACATGGAATTCTCTGCCACAGGAAGTGGCGGCGGCTACAAGCATGGACGGCTTCAAAAGGGAATTAGATAAGCATATGGAGCAGAGGTCCATCAGTGGCTATTAGCCACAAGGTATAGATAGGGACTCTGGGGCAAGTGATGCTCTGTCATCTTGGTGCTTGGGGGGGGTCAACAGTGGGAGGGCTTCTAATGTCCTGGCCCCACTGTTGGACCTCCTGATGGCACTGGTATTTCTGGCCACTGTGGGATACAGAGTGTTGGACTGGATGGGCCTTTGGCCTGATCCAACATTGGCATCTCTTATGTTCTTATGTTCTTAAGTAACTGACTCCCTGTCTACCAAAACGCTTCATCAGCAGTTGCCTTATGAAATCATAAGAGATATTCCAGAATGACAAATTGCACATTTCTCCATACATACATATTCTCCTGTATGTCTAACGTCCGCAATCTGTATACATCTGTGATAATTAAAAAGCAACTAATAAGATATACTCCTGTATATCTTAATAAGATATTCTCCTGTATGTCTAACGTCCGCAATCTGTATACATCTCTGATAATTAAAAAGCAACTAATAAGATATACAGTTGCCATTTAGAATGAGTGATAAAGAAGGTGGCTGAATTTTAAAAACTAAAAATGTGGGCAGACGCCTTGATCAACAGTTCTTATCGCAGTCTTTCTTTGGCGCACAGGTTTGACAGCTCTCGGGATCTGACAGTGGTGCGTGGAAGCAGAGATGTGGGGTTCGGGTCCCGGCGTCTGGGCCTTCTTCCTTGTCCTTTGGATGGTAGGAAATACGACAGGTAAGGCTGCGACAATGGGGAAGCCCCCAAGAAGAGCCTCAGTCGACCTTTGTGGTTGACAGCACTGCTCCCTCTAAGCTGTGGGATTTTGTGAGCAAAAATTCTAATTTGTGAGCTCCTGGCATTAAAGTCGTGATGGAGCGATTTGGGTACTGCATAAATTAGTTTGCTTTGGGGCCCTCCTCCCTGAGCGAAGACAAAAACATGTGAGCCAAAGGCTAAAAAACTGTGAGCTAGCTTAGAGGGAACACTGGTTGACAGGTAGATCTATTTGTGGGGATTCAGCAGCAGACTGCCTCTGAACGTAGAGGTCCTGTTCTGAGTCATGATAGTTAATAGGAACAGATGGACAAGTTGCGGAGGGTACATTTTATGAGGAAGCAAGATTGCAATCTGTATTGGAAATATCTATTGCGGTGTTTTTATCGTATGTGTCGTTTTGCTTTTCCGGCACTCTCTTGTACCCTTGTAATCCACTCTAGGCACTGTTTAAGATATGTTTGTGCCTTCGACTGTTTGCATGACATAACCGTTTGCATTGCTTCCTGATTTCTGCATCGCATGTTCCTTAATTCTTGCAGTCCTACTCCTACCGCACTGTTACTGGGTATCTTGAGCTGTCTGATTGAATTGTTTTCTATATGTCAAACTCGGATCTCGTTTGCTATGGCTTTCCTGCACCGTCTGTGATTCTGTGCTTTTCATCCTCTTTGTTCTGGTTGAGTAGAAGGGGGGGGGGAACCCATGAGTGAGTGTGTGTGTGGGTGTACTGTTTAGCTGGGAATAGTGCTTGCTGTAACTGCACGAGGCCTCCCTTTCACAGGGAAGAATGCTTGCTTTGACCTTGGGTATTAGACATTGCTTGATAATGTAACGTTCTGCTTACAGGTGCTGGGGGGAGGATCGATGGCGCACAGTAGATTTTGGTGGGCTGGATGAGTGGAACGATTGGACAGGTCACGGGTTGCATAAATTGTGTATGATATCAGAACTGGTGCCAAACGTGTCAGTTCTGACAGGGACCGTCTCAGCTTGAAACATCCCTAACTCTCAATAAACAAATCACTGCCAAGAGAGTGTTGTTGGGAGTAAGTTTGTTCAAGAGTCTGACACTATATTTTGTAATCCTCCCTGAATCTCTGTGAGAAAGGCGAGCTACAAATGAAGGAACTAAACAAAATCATTATTCCCAACTCCAAATCACTAAAAGCACCAGACCCAGTACTGAGCCCTGCGGTACTCCACTGTTTGGTGTAGTGGTTAGGAGCGTGGACTCTAATCTGGGAGAACTGTGTTTGATTCCCCACTTCCCCACATGCAACTGCTGACGTGACCCTGGGTCAATTACAAGTTTTTTTAGAGCTGTTCTCTCACGAGCAGTTCTCAAAAGAGCTCTCTCAGCCTCACCTACCTCACAGGGTGTCTGTTGGGGGGAGGGGAAGCGAAACGAGATTGTAAACCGCTCTGAGACTCCTTTGGGTAGTCAAGGGAGGGGTATAAATCCAATCTTTTCTTCTCTTCTTCTTCTTCATCCTCACTCGGTTTCCTGTTAATGAACCAGTTTTTATTCCACAAGAGGACTTGTCACTTATCAAATGACTGCTGAGTTTACTTAGGCTTTCTGGAAGTCTAGGCTTTCTGGAAGTCTAGGTAAACAACATGTACTGGGCCACCATTGTCCACGTGTTTGTTCACCCCCTTAAAGAACTCTAACACGTTAGTGAGACGAGATCTTCCCTTACAGAATCCATGCTGATTCTTCCTAAATAGCTTTTGTTCATCTATGTGCCTACTAATTCTGTCTTTAATAACGGATTCTACCAACTTACCCGGTATCAACGTTAGACTTACTGCCCTGTCATTCCCCAGATCTCCTCTGGAAGCTTTTTTAAAGATGGGGGTTACATTAACGACCCTCCAGTCATCAGGAATGTAGGCAGATTTTAATGATAGATTCCATATTTTTGTCAGGAGATCCACAAGTTCACATTTGAGTTCTTTTAGAACTCTTGGATGTATGCTACCTGGGCCTGGTGATTTGTCAGCTTTTAATTTGTCCATCAGTCGTAGGATCTCCTCTCTCATCATCTCAATCTGACTCAGGTGTTTCACCACCCCTCCTGAAATTGGCAGTTCTGGAGTGGGCAAGCACCTCCCATCTTCTGCAGTGAAGACAGAGGTAAAAAATGCGTTCAGCTTCTCTGCCATTTCGCTATCAATCTGTAGTAATCCTTTAACCCTATCAACTTTTAGTAATCCTTTGGTCATCCAAGGGCCCCACTGCCTCCCTGCCCAGGGATGGTTCCTCAGTACAAAAGGATACCTGTTTGCCAACTGTAGAAGAGGTCCCTTCTGAGGAAACATTCCCCCTTTCTTCAGCACAGTGCCCTTTCCCCCCTTGACCCTCATGCTCCCTTACAGCAGTGAAGCTGCCATTCTCCGAGTGGGACACATCTAACAAGTCCCTGAAAGACTCATCCGTGTGCCTGACTGTCTCTGCTTTTCCAGGTCAGCCACCCTGGCCTCAAGGGTGCGAACTCATTTCCTGAGAACTCCTTGCACCTAGCACTCACCCATGACTTCTGGCCATTTGGCAGATAGTCATACATGTTGCAGTCAGTGCAATACACTCTATAGCCCCCAACCCCCTGCTGGCATTCCACCTTCATAATTGTTTGTTGTTGTTGTTTTAATTCACCCTTTTTATAAATTTCCTGTTTATGTGGATTTCTTTGTGGAAAGTCTGCTTACCCTTTTAGGGATGTGGAGAGATTAGTGCCCTGGTTTCATCACCCTGCTGCTGAACTCGCATGTCTGCTAAACTTGGCCTGTTTATTCCCTTGTTCCAGACACTTTGTCAATGGAGCTGAGACACTTCAACACTGAAGCAGGCCTGCTACCTCACAGAGCTCAGTGCAGTTCTAGCTGCAGCCACTAGGGGCAAAGTCTCTCCACAGTAAAAGGCTCTCTACTATCAGCTAGTCTTGTCTTTCTCCACCACTGAAGCAAACTTGCCTAACAGATCATGATAAGCCCATCAACCAAGACAGTTCTGGAGCAAGATGAGACTGCACACTGATGGTTGGTACAGTAACTGCCATGAGATGGGGTGAATGTGACAACTCAGACAAACAGGGGTGTCCAGTGTGGTGTAGTGGTTAAAGTGTCAGATTAGGATTTGGGAAACTCAGGATTGAATTCTCACTCTGCCAAGGAAGCTTGCTGGGTGTCCTTGGGCCAGTCATACACTCTCAGCCTATCCTACCTCACAGGGCTTTTGTGGGGATAAAATGGAGAAGAGAAGAATGTTTTGAGTCCTCATGGGGGAGAAAGGTGGGATATAAATAAAGTAAGTGGGGCCCCAGTCACACGGGAGATTTTGGCCCGGGAGAGGGATGGATCGGGGGCGCAGCAAACGGGCGCAAGCACACCGCAACATCTTGGAATCGACTCGCACCTGTCCCCGATCCATCCCTTCAGGCCAATAACGCGCTGTAAAAAAAAAAACAACAGAAGAGGAGGACTTACCGGATACACCGCAGCAAGCGCGGCCGTGGGATCGCCGGCGCGCTCGTCCTCCGCAGCAATCCAGCCTTCCGGCCGAACTGCACACGCGCACACATGCACAGTTCAGCTGCCTCCCTCCCTCTTCAGTGGCTTCCCCCCGGCATCTGATCGTGCCAGGGAGGAAGTGCGCGGCAGCTCAGGGGATCTATGTGATCCCGCCGCCGCGTGTCTCTTTTGGTGCGGCTTTAAAAAGCCGCACTTTGCCCGTGTTTTCCCCCCCGTGTGGCAGGGGCCTAAGTTAAGTAAATAAATAAAATCCTGAATCCAGAAAAGCACGATCAATCCTTATGTTTTGCTAAAGAATGTAAGAGCTTCTGAGCATACACAGAATACATTTTGGTCCCACAGATACCACAGAACAGTCTTTCACCTTCAGAGTTTTCTCTCAGCCCCCACTCCTTGTCTTTCTGTTACCTAGCCAGCCGGCCTTGCATCCCCAAGTTCGTTGGCAGCGACGCCATGGTTTGTGTCTGCAATGCAACTTACTGTGACACCGTGGACCCCGTCTGCCTCCTGCCCAAGGGCTACTTCCTGAAGTATGAGACCAGCAAAGCTGGCCACCGTATGGAGCTCACAGAAGGGACGTTCCAGCTGAACAGCACATCTCCTGGCTTCCTGGGTGCGTTGAAGGGCTAGACACCCCCCCCCCCCCCCCCCCCCGTTCTCCATACTCACCTCATCTCTTCTTTCTCTAAAGGGCTCGAATATTTCTTCAATGCCTCTGAACGCTACCAGTATATCAAAGGCTTTGGTGGATCCCACACAGACGCCGCGGCGATTAATATTCTGAGTTTGTCTGTGGCTGCCCAAAACCAGCTGTTGAGGTGCTACTTCGCTGACACTGGTGAGAGCACCCTGGGGTGGGGAGTGGCACCCAACAGCCTGCAGAAAGAGGACTGATCCTCTTGAGATTAGCCTGGTGGTCTGGCTCTCAACATACGGGGGGGGGATTGTGTGTGTGTGTGTGTGTGAGAGAGAGAGAAATGTGGAATTCACTGCCAAAGGATGTAGTAATGGCCACAGGAATAAACAGCCTTAGAAGGGGATTAGATAGATTCATGGAGGATAAATCTAGCAATGGCTGCTAGCTTAGTGCCTCTGAATCCCAAAGCCAGGAGGCGACATCAGGGAAGGCCTCAGCCTCTCTGCCCTGTTGTTGGCCCTCCAGAGGAACTGGTTGAGGCCACTGTGTGAGGCAGGATGCTGGACTAGAGGGACCCTCACTGGTCTGACCCCCCAGGCCTCTTCTGATGTTCTTATGAGGGGAAGGCCTCGGCCTCTCTGCCCTGTTCACTGGCCCTCCAGAGGAACTGGTTGAGGCCACTGTGTGAGGCAGGATGCTGGACTAGAGGGACCCTCACTGGTCTGACCCCCCAGGCCTCTTCTGATGTTCTTATGAGGGGAAGGCCTCGGCCTCTCTGCCCTGTTCACTGGCCCTCCAGAGGAACTGGTTGAGGCCACTGTGTGAGGCAGGATGCTGGACTAGAGGGACCCTCACTGGTCTGACCCCCCAGGCCTCTTCTGATGTTCTTATGAGGGGAAGGCCTCGGCCTCTCTGCCCTGTTCACTGGCCCTCCAGAGGAACTGGTTGAGGCCACTGTGTGAGGCAGGATGCTGGACTAGAGGGACCCTCACTGGTCTGACCCCCCAGGCCTCTTCTGATGTTCTTATGAGGGGAAGGCCTCGGCCTCTCTGCCCTGTTCACTGGCCCTCCAGAGGAACTGGTTGAGGCCACTGTGTGAGGCAGGATGCTGGACTAGAGGGACCCTCACTGGTCTGACCCCCCAGGCCTCTTCTGATGTTCTTATGAGGGGAAGGCCTCGGCCTCTCTGCCCTGTTGTTGGCTGTCCAGAGGAACTGATTGGTCACTGTGTGTGACAGGATGCTTTCGTACTATTGGTCTGATCCAGAAGAGCTCTTCTTATGTTTGTTAGTGTGTGTGTTATCAAAGGGGAGCATTCAAAATTGCAGTTCTAGCCCTCCACTCTGTCTGAAGATGTACAGAAATTCTACTGCATGGTTTTGCTGAACATGTGGAGTTAAGATGGAACATAGGTGTCAAAAGTGGTCAGTGTCTCTTATGCTGGAATGGGGGGTGCTAGCAGGGGTGAACTGGCTCATGGGGGTTGCGTGGGGGGAGTTAAGTACCAGTCTTTATGCCCCCACTTTCTAAGAAACTACAGTTTTGGAATTAAGCACCTGCAAAGATAATGATGGTACCTGGTATTTTTGGCCACTGTGTGACAGAGTGTTGGACTGGATGGGCCTTTGGCCTGATCCAACATTGGCGTCTCTTATATCCGCCTCCTGAAGCAGCCATTTTGTGGTTGCACTCAAAGGTGCCCACTGTTGGGTAAATAAGGCACGGAGACTGGAGTTGTTAATCACAGGCCCCGGTCACACGGCAAAGTTGCCACGGGAGAGGCACAGGAGTCCCGCGGATTTTCTGGGCGCGATCTCACCCCAACATCTGGGAAGCGCAGTGCTCCCGTGGCGAACCCGTGACTCCCCGCCAAAGGTGCGGAGTTAAAAACTAGTACCTACGAGGTACTAGTATCCTGAAACCGCAGGCCAAGGGCGGGCGTCTGATCGCATTCCCGGTGGACCTACGTGGCATCCGGTGCCCGCTGCTGTTCGTCTTTGCAGGTTGCGCAACAGTGCCCAACAGCGCATGCGCACAAAGAGCGATTGCCAGTGCGATCGCGCGGTGCGGCTTCTGTGTCACGCTGCAGAATACCGTCTGATCGGCATTTCCCCCGAACCACAGGACTTCGACCCAGACGTGTGCTCGGGCAGCCACACATTAGTTTCCTCCAGGGCATTTAGCCACGCCTCCCCCGCGTAATATCCGGCCCATGTGACTGGGGCCACAATAAGGTTCTTTATCTAAATCCATTAGGAAGGGGGAAAACAGGAAAGTTGTAATAAAAGAACAAAGTCCTAAACTACATATTTATACAGCAAAGTAGGCTAATACATACCACGAGTCTCTAAGGCTGCGATCATAAACACAATTAGACCCAACATAGGTGCTAATGCCGGGTGGATTTAAAGGGCACGATCATAAACAACATCTGGGAAGCGTCCCGCAGCCATCGGCAACCCGTTCTGCTCCGCCGCAGAAGCTGAGTTAAAAAACACTGGGGGAAATCTGGTAGTAAACGGGTTGCAACGGGCCACGGACGGACTTTCCTGTGTCTGATCACTCCAACACACTCTCATGCTGTCAGGGTGGTCTGATCAGGCCATCCTGAGTCTGTGCTGTCGTTTTCCCCCCTTCACAGTATGCGCATCATCGCAAACTCCATAGGGAGCCCTCAGTGCAGAGGTGCGATTCAATTCCTCGTTTAAGCTCATGGGGGGGAGGGAACGGCACAACCCCCCCCCCCGACTCACCCTCAGTTGTGTCTGATCACACAATGACGGGCTGCGCCTGCAGCTTCGAAGGAAGTTGTGATCGTGCAACTGCAGGTCAAACTCTTCTGGAGGAAATAGTTCACTCCCCCCGCCCCGTTTTATCTGGTGCATGTGAACCCACCCTAAGAGGAAACAGGTGAAAACGTGGGTGAGGCTGCTGAGCAAGTAACCTCTCTTCTAGAACCTTAACAGGAGGAAACTCAAGCCTCATTGGCCATCCCAAACACTGGTAAATTAAAACCATCCAATCAGTTTCTCAAGCACACCAATTAACATGCAGGATTGGCTCTGAGCTAGGTTGCACTTCCAGGTCATGTTGCACTTCCTGTCCATGGAGCAGAGGTCCATCAGTGGCTATTAGCCACAAGGTATAGATAGGGACTCTGGGGCAAGTGATGCTCTGTCTTCTTGGTGCTTGGGGGGGGGCCAACAGTGGGAGGGCTTCTAATGTCCTGGCCCCACTGATGGACCTCCTGATGGCACCTGGTATTTCTGGCCACTGTGTGACACAGAGTGTTGGACTGGATGGGCCTTTGGCCTGATCCAACATTGGCGTCTCTTATGTTCTTACGTCAGGTCTCTGGTAGAATCATAACAAATATGTGAACCCTATAATGACTGGAATTTAGATCTTGCCTTATCCCAACGCCCACAGGCTCTTAAAAAGGTTGAGGATGCTGGAAAACACAGTGCTGAACTAGGTGGAGCAGTGATGTAAGGTAGTTTTGCCTAGACTGCCTCTTCTGCCTTGTCTCCGCAGGAATTGAGTACAACCTTCTGCGCATGCCCATTGGTAGCTGCGATTTCTCCACACGCCCCTATGTTTATGATGACATCGCATATGATTTTGACCTGAAGTATTTCAGCCTAGCAGAGGAGGATATCAAGTTCAGAGTGAGTAAAGCCATGCTGGATGGAAGACTCTCTTCTGTATGGTGATGGGGGGGGGGGGAATGGGTTTAATTTTAAAAAGATCTAGTTATACTTGTCCTACCCACAACCAGTGCTCCCTCTAAGCTGTGGTCTTCTGAGCAAAAACTCTACTTTGTGGACCTACTGGCGTTAAAGCTGTGACCGAGCAATTTGGCTACCGGATAAATTAGTTTGCTTTAAGAACATAAGAACATAAGAGACACCAATGTTGGATCAGGTCAAAGGCCCATCTAGTCCAACACTCTGTCCAACACTCTGTCACACAGTGGCCAAAAATACCAGGTGCCATCAGGAGGTCCACCAGTGGGGCCAGGACATTAGAAGCCCTCCCACTGTTGGCCCCCCCAAGCACCAAGAAGACAGAGCATCACTTGCTCCAGAGCCCCTATCTATACCTTGTGGCTAATAGCCACTGATGGACTTCTGCGCCATATGCCTATCTAATTCCCTTTTGAAGCCGTCCATTCTTGTAGCCGCCACCACTTCCTGTGGCAGTGAATTCCAAGTGTTAATCACTCTTTGGGTGAAGAAGTACTTCCTTTTATCCGTTCTAACCCGACCGCTCAGTAATTTCATGGAGTGCCCACGAGTTCTTGTATTGTGAGAAAGGGAGAAAAGTACCTCTTTCTCTACCTGCTCTTTCCCATGCATAATCTTATAAACCTCACTCATGTCACCCCTCAGCCGTCGTTTCTCCAAGCTAAAGAGCCTCAAGCGCCTTAACCTTTCCTCATAGGGAAAGTGTTCCAACCCTTTTATCATTCGAGTTGCCCTTTTCTGCACTTTTTCCAAAGCTATAATATCCTTTTTAAGGTGTGGTGACCAGAACTGCACACAGTATTCCAAATGAGGTCTCACCATTGATTTATAGAGGGGCATTATGATATGGGCTGATCTGTTTTCAATACCCTTCCTAATAATCCCCAGCATAGCATAGCATTGGCCTTCTTTATTGCAGTCCCACACTGTCTCGACATTTTCAGTGAGTTATCTACTACAACTTGTCCTTCCTGAGCCGTCCTTCCTGAGCGAAGACAAAAATGTGTGAGCCGGAGGCTAAAAAGCTGTGAGCTAGCTCACACTAACTCAGCTTAGAGGGAACACTGCCCACAACCATATTGTCACTATGAGGATAATGGTTTTATGTATTGCTATACCGGGGCCCCAGTGTGGTGCCCATGGGGTGCCATGGTGCCCGCCAAGTGTTTTTAGAATGTGCCCATGGCCAGGTGGAAGTTTTGCCCAGCAAGGTTTCTGATCGGCCACTGGAGATTGGATTGGCTGTGCGGGTTTTAAAAAACGTTGCTTTGCAGCAGCTACCACCACAGCACGAGGATCTTTACTGTGTGGCTGAAAGTGAGCTGTGGGCGTGGCAATCATTCTGTGGCTGGCTCCACCTCCTACGGCAGCCATTTTTGGCAGCCATTTTGCGGCTGCCCCCATCAGGCTGTGTCAGAATTCCAAACGAGCCTGCAGGCTCAAAAACGTTGGGGACCCTTGTTCTATACAGTACTTGGGCTTAGAGCCCGTCAACATTTACTATGGCTATTAAAACTAAAGGTGCGGTACCTTCTGGGTGTGTCTGGAAAAACAGGCATGTGGTTACAGAAGGGAAGAGAAGGCCATTTACCATAACTGGCTAATAACATCTGACAAAGAAAAGGGGCAATAAACCTAATCCTTTCTCCGCAGGTCTAATACTTACCCCTTTGGAGCAAAAGGGAAAAGGTCTATTAAAAGTACTGAGTTCGGAGACGTGCCATAGTGATCAGCTCGTAGTTTATTAACTACTCCGAACTAGAAGACAAACTAGCCGGTCTGTGACGGACTTTTATCCGTGCACACACAACACTCAAACACACACACACACTCCCCGTGATAGGCTCTATTTACACTACCCAGTCCCCATAGGTCCGTAACAGGATCCGCGCGAGCCCGTTGGTCCATGTTAGGATCCGACTAGTCTATTGTTACTAGACCCGAAGGTCTGTTTGACCGCATGGTCAGGCTAGTGCTGGCGAGGCTATCTTAATACATAACAGTCTAATACTTACCCCTTTGGAGCGAAAGGGAAAAGGGGCATTCCCATCAATGTGAAATGGGTTTCCCTTTCCAGGTCAAAGTACTGAAGTGGACCACGAACCACGACCAGTGTTCCCTCTGAGCTGAGTGAGTGTGAGCTAGCCCACAATTTTTTTAACCTCTGGCTCACATATTTTTGTCTTAGCTCAGGAAGGATGGCTCCAGAGCAAACTAATTTATGCAGTGGCCAAATCGCTCGCTCCCAACTTTAATGCCAGCAGCTCACAAAGTAGAATTTCTGCTCACAAGACTCTGCAGCTTAGAGGGAACATTGGCCACCACCAGATGAAAAACATTACTTTTGAAACCACCACCACAAGAGTGAACCTGAATGTTCCCCCTGAGTCTGATCGTATAACATCTTCCCAAAATGCTACCATGAACTTTGCTATCAAGGTGGTCACTTCAGCAGAGCCTCTTTGCTATTAATCGTGGAATCTGGTCACTATAATAAATCTGGTTGACTCTTGGGGAAACCCCCCCACTAAAGGTGCTACTGGGCTTTTTACTATTTTGCAGCAACAGGCGAACATGGTTAACTCCTCTGGATCTGTGTCTATTAAGATTCCCCCGCCCCCAATGTGACTTTCTCACCTGTCCCTACTGCTGCGGCTCAAAATGACCCCCAGTGATGTTTCTGGGGGACCCCTAGGAGGGAATTGTCGAGTTGTCACAGAAGGGGGGGGATCAGCAAACATTACCCCCCAAAAAACAAATCTATTGGTTAGGATCCAACCCCTTGTTTTCTGCTACCTCATCCATCTTTAAAAGGGTGATTTCCCACAAGCGCTGCTCCGCGCTCACTCCTCCCTTTTGCCCCGATGGTACGTGTCAATTTCACACAAGCTGCTGCGCGGCCGCATTTTGCCCCGCAGCTTTGTGCGATTTCCCCCGCATCTACTCAATCCTGTTTTTTTGAGGATTGAGTAGACGTGGGGAAAATCGCACGAAGCTGCGGGGCAAAAATGCGGCCATGCAGCAGCTTGTGTGAAATTGACACGTACCACCGGGGCACAGAGAAGAGTGAAGGCAGAGCAGCGCTTGTGGGAAATCACCCAAAGTAAAATAGTGTTTGCATTTATACTCTAGCAGCTTGCTTTTAAAACTAATGGTTAGGCGAAACAGACACTGAGCCCAAGGAATAACAAGGGCCAAATATAAAAACAGTAACAGACATAGATATTTAGAAGTACAGCATGAATATTCCATTAGACATTTGTTATGCATGTACGCCTTCTTATTAAGAATGACTGCAACAAAGGGAGGTGACGATTCCCATATCGGTTCTCCACCTTACCTGAATTAAAATTGAATTCAAATAGCTATTTTCCCGTTCTCTCACCTCCCACCCCAACCTAGCATTAATAGATCCTTCTCTGCAGTGCTGTGGAATCTTCCTTCTGGTCATGTTCTTCCTTGGCTCACTGTATATCTTGGAGACACTGGCTTGGGTTTGAAGCTAGTGATTTCCCCCTGCTCATGACTATTCACCAAAGACACCGGAATAAGGACACCAGGGCCCTGCACCTGGAAGACTCCACCTCTTCCTCAGATGACCCCCCCCCCCCGTTCCCCAGCTCCTTTTTTCTCCGGCCGCCATCTTCCTTGCCGTTCCCTCCGCCCGTTCCCCAGCCTTTTTCTTCCACACAGCTCTTCCTCTTTCTTCAGTTCATACATTTATTTATTTTGCCTCCTTCAGCACTTCCTGAATCTTCACACACCCTCACGGACTATCACTCCAAGAAGAGTGAAGCTGGCATTTTATTCTCTCCTGTCAGACCTTTCAACCAATGAGTGTTCACGGCCTCTCAGTCCCTCGTCTCATTGGTTCTAAGCTAAAGGCCAATGAAAGTGGTTAAATAGCCCACTGACTGACTAGCTTGACCAATCGGAAGTGAAATATTTTGAATCTTTCTGTTTCCGGTACTGGCGGGAGAGACAAACGCAAAACCTCAGAAAGAAATAATCTCCCTTAGCAACAGTAACTAGGCATCACCTCCCTCCAGAGGTTTGCATAACTTGATAGCGTTCTTTCCCTCACAGGAGTAAATTCTACTTGCTTTTACCCAGAGGTCATTTCGGGGGGGGGGTCGCGGGGGATCGCAGTTCCCCCGGGGGAGGTACGGGGGGCGGGGGACATGACGAAGCCCCGCCCCCTGCTTTCGGCCGCCCTGCTTCCGGCCCTCATTCAGCCAGGAGGAGGCAGGAGAAGAGGGAGGGTAAGTTGCTTCCTCCCTGCCTCTCCCCACCCCTGCCTGCCTGGGGCCAGGGAGGGCCTTGGTGGGGCTTCCTCGCACTCCCGCCGGCCTTGCAGGTCCACCGCCAGGCCCCTCATGGGGCTCGGCAGTGGAGCTGCAAGGCCGGTGGCGGCGGCCGGGACCGTTGGGGGCGGGGTGTGTGGCCTTATGGCACACTTCCGGTGATGTCAGGGGGTGTGGCCTTATGACACACTTCCGGTGATGTCAGAGGGTGTGGCATATGCTAATGAGTTACGCTAATGAGTCCCCCTAGCTCTTTTCCTACGAAACGACCCCTGCTTTTACCTAGTAATATTAGTTTATTAATGTTATTTAGAACGGTTATTTGTACTCTATATGTAGTTTCTGACAAATATGTATAGTTTCTGACAAAGGCGGCTTTGAGTCTTGAAAACTCATGGCCTCCAAAATCTTGCTGGTCTCTAAGGTGCTACTGGAAGCTAATCTAGCGTCTCTCGAATTGAATTGAATGTAGCCTTGAATCTAATGTAGGGGAGAGAGAGAGAGAGAGAGAGAGAGAGAGAGAGCGAACTCTGTGGCATTATCCCCTACTGAGGTCCCTCCTGTCCTCAAACCAGGGGTCATTTCGTAGAAAAAGAGCTAGGGGGACTCATTAGCATA